TAAACTGCCCTCCGAGAAGGGAGGACTGGCATCGGCAAAGATTCCTGAAGCCGCTGTTGGTAAAAGTCAAAGCAGATGATATTATAAACCATACTGAAGCCGTGACAGAATTTCACTTAAACTAAGATTTTGCCAGTGTTTCCTTAGCTGTAGCAGGAGTTTAACAAGCTGTCTCCCCAGGATACATAGATATACACACCTATATTATCCATAATGGTACCTAACAGGACTTAGGTGCGCTTGTGATCTTTTCGTCAGTGGAGCTACACATGCAATGTAAAGCTACGTTTACGTTGCTACGCCTTGTAACGTAATGCCAGGAAAGAAAGGTGACTCTCATCTAGAAACTGGAATTAAACCCACAATTGCTGATTTGCAGCATGCTTCTTCAGTCTAGCATACACACGAGAAACCGATGGGAAGGTGCATCTCTCTCAGCTAGCTCAAGTAGAGGTGAACAGTTTTCTCACTATTTCCATTTTCTGAAGTGGCAGAGCTCTCTCACATCATCGAAAGGGTTCGGACTTAGGCTGCCTGGGGAAAAGGGAATCTCCACCCCATGAAAAATCTGATGTCCCTGGAAACAATTACATCAACCGGGAAAGTCAAAATCCCAATCCGTTCCCGCCCCAGCGCTCAGGTGCTCTCCTGTCTAGGCTTGCTGACCCCTGTGTCTTTGGTCGGCTGCACATCCCTCCTACCTTGCTGTACTCAGGATACCTCCTAGCCTGCCTCTCAGTGGATTTCTAGCATATATCAGAAGAGAAAGAGCAGCAGAATCTGCCATCAGCGCAATTTCAGCTCAAGTTGCCCAGTGCCAACAACTGGTCGTCCTGTCTTAAGAAGTAAAAAGATTTTTATCTTTTTTACCACAAACCTTTTCCACCAGCAAATATTTTAATATTTTAATTAAAAGTGCCATTTCTGGAGAAGATTTAAAACAGAAACACAGCAGTAAGAAAGCATCATACAAACCAACACTGAATAGAGAAGCAGCTTTTAAAAATAAATCTTCTATAGACTGTCCCGTGCAACGTAAAAAAATTCATTACACACATATATTATAAACCGACATTTATCTTTCCTCAGCTGCACGAATTGATTTACTTGCCATTACTCATGAATTCTTTTCAGGTTCTAAGGGCAATATAAAGGGACCATTTTGCCCATGAAGGCACGTGAGTTTGGTACCCGCTAATTTTACCCAGTGCCTGCTGTCTCCGGAGATAAACACCTGCCCCACCACCGAGTGAGAATACGGTATTTAACATCTTATCGTTGGAAGCTGGATGTACACAGAAGTATTAGCAAACACATTTCTGAATATAAAGTTGTGGATGTGCATTTACAGAAACGTCGCTCCCAAAGCTGCGTGGCTAATTTAGGCATTACCAAGTCGTTCATATCTAAGCTACAACTTCTGTGAACCAAAACGGAGATGCATAAAATACATACATTATGGAGCGCCTGAGGATTATTTTTCTCAACTCAAACAATACTCTTGTAAGTTCCTCGGTGAGTACTTCAGACGGATATCGAGAGAAAATATAGCTGATACTTGAATCTATTTAATAAAATATAAAGATTCTACCATAAATTAACGTTAAGATTGCCTAGGCAGTCAATCATTGGTCACGCCAAGAATCAGCACTCTGGTGAATTTTAGCGCTATTTTCCCTAATAATCAGCACACGTTGCTTTTCCTACAAAGTTAGCTTTTCACATTGGCCTGAAATAAAATGTAAGCAGAAGCATACAGGTTTTTACATACATAAAAAGCAGCAAGGGGCAAAATTGATATTCGCTCTTAAATTCCGTATTTCTTCAGCCAGGTGCCAATTTGGGCAGCATTAACGTGGCAGTAACAGCTTTTGCATATTCATTTTTCTAGAAACAACAGTCCTAAACTTTGCAATAACAAAGGTATTGATGTATCCAGATGACTAGAACTCATCCTTAATATCCTCCACTACTGGAATTCTATCACACTAAAAAGTAAACCTTTGACAACACCAAATCCTTTCATATACCCAGGTTGCCGTCTTTATTGTTAATTTTAAAAAGATGACAATTAAAATCAAGCATACTATTTTGGCACTCCAGTGGAATTCTTCAATTATTTTTTTTTTATTCCAAACAATTCTTTACCAAATGCATTAAGCAAAAGTATTTAAATTATGAGCAGATTTCTTAACTTTTCAGTATGGCAAACAGGAAAAAAAAAAAAAAAATTCAGTTCAACCAAGAAAAACAAACACACAGAGACCTTCCCGCCCAAAAGGTCTTTTGGCAGTTGCAGAGAACCTGCGGCCCATTTCCCCTGCCCCTGGGCCCTCCCTCTGGGCAGCTCTCCAGGGTCTCCCTGGCACTCCCAAACGCTCTGGAATGGCATTTGCAGTGTAAACAAACGTCAGCACTTAGATTATTGTAAATTATTTACAGTAAATTCATACAAGACTATAAGGCACTTTAAGGCCTTGTTAAGACTGCAATAATTATTCCCAGAAACTGAACTATGGGAGCACCTAGTGCTTAGAGACAAAACCAGGAAAAATACCATGACCCAAAACGTGGAAGACAACTTGCTTTCACTTGACTAAGGAATTCCCCGTGGAGCAGAGAGCAAACCCGGAACGATTTTACCACAAGAAAAAAGTTCAAGTACCCTGCAGATCACGTAGCAAAACCATGATGTTTAATGATGTAGAACACTGAACGTGCTTGTTACTACGTCTGACACCAAGATTGGTACTACAGATATGTTACCTAGGGATGATGACTGAACAAAGGAAAAATTTCCTCAAAACATCCGCAGCATCTTGGCCTGTTGGATGGCACAGCAACGGTCATCAGAACCCAGAGCTTGGAAAACCTTGACTTAGACAGCAAGAACTATTTCGCATTGGCAAGGAAAAAGTGTTTCCATCCAAATTTTGTAATTACGCAGCTGCCTGTCAACAAATCACAGGCTGACTTTTATATAGACACATTTATATATTCTAAAAATATTGTGTAGGCAATTTTAGAATGTAAACAAAACAGAAAACATTTCAAAATTTGTTTTTCAACTGCTGGTCTAAATACATTTAGTGACGTAAAATAGCAAATAAATAAGCCAATATTTATGTTAAAAAATCCCAATTTATAGTTACTTGAATTTTTCAGAGAACAGTTTTGAATCTCTTTTTAAGAGTATGTTTTAATGATCCGTCCTTCCTGAAAAATATTTCAACAGTTAATCATTATTTTAACCATCTCATTTAAGATGAGAAAAAGCCATGAGAAAAAGATCAGAACAATCTATCTTATTCGTAATCAAATCAGTATATTCACAAATGAATAAAATAGTTTAGAAAAAGAAAAAAGTGAAATGCAATTCTTCAACCTTGCTCGGTCAAATCCTTAGCTGTGCCGCAATACCTTAGGCTGTCAGAGAAAGTTTATGAAAATGGTGGGGAGTTGGAAGAAACACAACTTGGGCAAAGAGGAGCGGCTGGAATTTGTTAGGATTTCGGATCACCTAAAACCGCACTGAGAAGTCATATAACATCAGTACCTGCTGGTCTCTACAATCAGGGCATTTGCAGTGCAAAGAACAGACGCATTAATGAAGTAACCAATGCTGACGCTGTAAGTCTGACCTATTAAAGACTGCGCTTAGGCCAGTCTATAACAGCTCGATCTATCAGAGCCCTGGAAAGCACTGTTCTGCGCTAGAAGGGGCGAAAGTTCACACAAGCGGCTTGTTTATGCTGGTCTGCATCACAAGGTTTGCAAAGGAAAGCAGAGGAGGTTTTAGTACATCTAACCGTCATCTAAACTCTATTATTTGTCAAATTTGCAGCTGTTCATCTAATTGATGAACAGTCATCTAAATGATAAGGAGTCAAATAGTCAAACTACGCAAATAAACCACATTAAACCCCCCCAATATTGTAATGAAAAATAGAATCTTGCCCCAAACTTTTCAAATGGGGGTGGCAAAGCCACATAACAATGATGTCCAGAGGTCTGGGATATCCAACAGTGCTGACTTACAAGTTGAAGATCCATCAAGGACAATAATATTTCTGGGAGAAACTTCTGCAAATCAAGAGAGAACACAGTAGACTTCCCTCCTTATTTATATCAAGTGCCCACTTACAATTTTTATGATTAACGTAGCTGCTTGACCGTAGCTGCAATTTCAAAGTCATGGTATTACCACCACTTTGAACAATATCGCAAAGACAAAGATTCAGCTGAGGTGAGACTCTATTGCAAGAAAATAATCCCTTTGAGGGTGGGGGAAAAAGGAATTCTGACTTAGGTGCTCAAACAGTTCATCATTTTTAGACAGAAATTCTACCTAATTTCGCATTGTTTTAAAATCTGAGTGTGAGACGTTTTACAGAAAAGAAAGAGATGAAGTATTATTTCGTAGTATTTCCAGTAGAAATGATAGCTCTGATCAAAACAGAAAAAAAAATCTCTCATATGTGTTCTCTATGAAAACCATAACTAAAGATAAGCTTAAATACACCTGTTGATCAAGACAAGAAACTCCGTGTTACTTATGCACAATGAAAAACAGTTTAACAACAGTTTCCATTGAGATACCTGTTGGCACATCGTCCATCGAAAGTTCCTTTTTATCTCACCCGGGAAAGCGATTGTCTACAGACACTTTTCTCTGTTCAGAAAACATGCCAAGCATATGTGCATTTTCATCATAAAATAGTGAATTATAATAACTTGAGTTCACCCCCCTGCCTAGTCAACCGGTGGGTTGTTGTGTTTGTTTGTTTTTTTTAAATACTGCAGGCCATATGAAGTATCTTCACTACAATATCCAAGGACTTCATGACGTACACTTGTCTTTCCACTCTCCCCTTACAGTTTCTGCAACTAAGAAGCATCAGTGATTTCTCCTTGCACATACTGAAACAATCTTCTTACAGTTTCTTACGGCCCACAGAAAGGCGGACCCTCTCAAGCAGATGTAACGGGAGGATGCTGCATCACGACAACGCGATCACCATGACTGATAGAAGCACTGCAATGTTGACTGTCCGCCTGCTGCCATCCGACGTTCTCCGGGCGTGCAATACAGCAAATACCGCATTTGTGTGATTGGTTGGTATCTCTACATTGCAAATCATGCCTTCACAGCAAGAAACACATTCCTGTTGAGAAAAAGGAGATCACCGGACATAGGGTAATTCAGCGGTGGCTTTGAGAGAGAGATGTTCTTCCAACTGGTTGCAAAGGTTACAGCTAAACAGACTAATCGCTCCCACCCGGCAGCCTGACCCAAGGCAGCAGATGGAGCATATATGCTACAACTTCTCTTCCAAATCATGCACCACAGCCTTCCTGGAGTATCTCGTCACCTAGCGCTGTCACTGGGCTTCGAAACTGTGATGTGATGCAATACAGCCGTCCTAGCGGTACTGACAAGTTCACTAACATTGTAGAAAATAGAGAAAACTTTCCACCACTTTCCGCTTCTAACACGAGCTAAAAACACGCATTTGAATGTTTCAAGTTTCAGCTTTTTAAGCTAAAAAATTCTGACTGTAAAACCTCTGTTCCCATCCATCTTTCCCCCTCAAGCTTTTGTATTCAGTGTAGCTTTGCATGCTGAACTTCAGACTTTCTTTTTTCAGTTTTCTAGTGCCACAGAACCACTGACACAGCTGATTTTCAGGAGGGAATCGGAAAATAATTTTCCTTACTTGACACTCCTTACTGGAAAAGCCAAGAGAATGCCAATTTTAATCTAATCCAAAGGCACGAGAACTCTTACAAGATAAAATGCAGCAGAAGGCAGGCTGCATAGTTATTTCATGACCTCAGTCCACCAAAACCTGTTGAAATCAATGGAAGTCAATTGAGATAACATACAGATTCTTTTCTATTTAACATGGATGCTGTCTGCTTCGTCTTTGGTGTCTGAAATCTTTCATGTTAAAAATAACATAACTAACCTCCTCAACCATTAAGGAATTAGTGGATAATGCTTTACTGCAGTGAATAATACGTTGGTGGGATACGCTTGATTATTAAGAATAAACTTTTACCTAGCACCCCAAGGATGAGAGAAGGCAGCAGTTCTAGCTTTTGGTCATGGAACAAAAACTCAGCTGTATCTTGCTTAAGAGTGTGGCCTTCATGGACAAATACAGTCTTGCTTTGTGTACTGTGGAGCGTTATCCAAGCTACCTTAAGCAGAGATACGACTGGAGTACCTAACTCCCAGTCTGGCTTGCCCAAGGGCTGACAGTGACCCTGCCGCAGCACCACGAGCACCGGTGCGGGTTGCGTAGCCTACCTGGGCACCCTACCCAGAAACCAAGGCCCCTGCACACACTAGCAATGCCCCAGAGAGCTCAGGTGTTTCTTCAGAAGTGGTTATTACATCCTGCCACACAGCAGCACAAATAGGAAGGTAGGAAGAAGGGGGTAGTCATGCTTTTGTTGCAGAAATTCTATTTCTATTGTTAAATACTGGAGAGTGTATCTTGGCACATCCTCTTCAGC